CACGGCCCGATAAATTAAATGAGCCGGCCCGGCCCGACACGAAAACGTTAAAAGCACGAGTTTAAATGGGATGGGCCGGCACGGCATGGCCCGTTTGACACCTCTAGATGATAAGTACGCTCAGGTCTTCGAATCTCCCTGCTCTAATATCGCTTTTATAAAATAAAATAAAAATACTTATGGTATTGATTGTTAATTGATAATCACAATGGGTAGTGATAGTTTATGTGGGATCAATACAAAGGACACAACTGAAAATATATCTCATTTTATGTTGTTTAAGGTTTAATTAAAAATAGAAAACAATTACATTTTGTTTAAAGCCCCACTATTATCATCAAATATATACGGTGTTAATTTTATTAAGAACAAAAAACAAAGAAATAGATAAATACTAGAAATTTAATGATTTGTATTAAGAGTGATTTTATAGCGTTCTACTTGATTTAAAGAGGGCCACCTTCATTCATGTAGGTAGATATTTGAAACTCTCAAACACTTGATGAATATTTATGTAAACTCTTCTTCCCCAATCGCTCGTACTTTTTTGAGCTATAGTAAGGGATGAAGCTTTTTCATCCATTGAACCTAGTGAAAGGAAGGACAATCAGATATTTGCATGAAGCTTTTACCTACTACGTACGGACTTGACTTGAAAGAAAGAAGGCAATTCAATCGCCAAAGATATATTGTCTTCTTACTAAAAAAAAAGATATATTGTCTTCGTCAGAGAAACTTTCGAAAGCAAACAACAAATTAACCTAACCTGGCTAAGGTCCCCTCTCAGACTGTTAACAGACTCAGACAGATTATATACCCATTGACTTGCTGGCTTGGCCCATGCAAAGGAGATAAAAGAGAACGATTTGGTTGAGTCAGATTTGTTCAAATAAAGGGGGCTGCATGCATGCGTGGAAAATAGAGAATTTGTGTCAGCAAGTTTTGAAATATAAAGGGACACCCTACATATACCCATAGTCTAAAATATTGATAATATCAACGAAATATTGAGGATATTATCATTTTTTCAAGTAAATGATATTTTGAAATGTATTCATACACATATTGTATAAATATCGATAATATCGGAAAATATCGATGTGGATAATTTCTCTCACACTTTAATAATATTTGGCCAAAATATCGCTATAATATCGATAATGTCGAGATGATGAAAACAATGAAAAATTTGAAAAGTTGTTTACACTAACACCCCCTAAGGTTTCAGTTTGTTTTCACAAAACCCCTTTTCGTTGATTGTTTGTCCAAAAATTGATGATTTCATTAAAAAAAAACTTATGCAAATGACAAAATTAACCTCAATGAAGTATATGCAATCTAATCTCAAATGCCAATTTTGTCATTTGAAGATTTTTGTGTGTATACAAAATCATCAATCTTTGGCTGAAATTCAATGAAAATGAGTTTTGTGAAAATAATTTAAAATCTCAAGGAGTTTTGTGAAAAAGCCGAAAACCTCTGGAAGTGTTAGTGTAAATAACTCAAATTTGAACCTTATAGGAACTCTATGTATCTTACAATGTAATGTATAAAGTGTAAAATATTGTAGTAAATCATTATAAATAAATGATTATGGTGTGTTTAATCTTTTTTCATTAATTACTACATATTTTCTACACTTGCAGTGTTTGTCAGCTCGCTATATAATCAACTTAAATCAGTTAATTATTGAATACATTTCCTTCCATTTTTTTTGTGATAGTGTAATAGATAATTGACTAAATAAACATCCTCCAAAGTTTCAAGAAAATTTCTAAATTTTTCTTACAATTTCCGTGGTTTCTATTCAATTTTTATAGGTATTTATAATATCCTGATATTTCCATCAAAATTTTCCTGTTTTTGGACAATTGATATTTTCGAAACCATCGATATTTTAGACCTTACATACACCCAATCTTGACGAGAATCCTAAATGCTTAATTTTGACACCTAAATTTTTATTTTTATTTTCCCTTTCTTTTGTCAATATATCACTACTAGAAAACCTCAGTATCCGACACTAGTACATCATAAGTTCTTTGTGGCCAAAGTGTGTTGGCCACAAATTGAACATATACATAGTGGTCTAAGCATGATGTTGCCATTTATTTTTCACACAACAAAAAGCATATGCGACCAATAAATGACTGGATCGTTATGGAAATTATAACTTAAGTCGATGAAATTGTAGAACAACATGATTGGTCAAAAAGGGGGAGTAGCTACTTTTTTCTGCATAAACAAGATTATTTGTTAGACAAACCTAACTTCCTCATAAGTAACAACACATTTCGCTGCCGCTAGTGACCCATCTGGTATACTTTGGTGTGCTATCATCTTTTACAAACCCCAAAACAAAACAAAAAAGAGAGCGGAAAAAGAAAAAAAAAGTCCAAAACTGCATGTTGAAGAAATGTCGTGGACATATAATTGGTCTTGAAGCTGCCACCTACAGTATGATCACCATTCCATGCAAAGTAGTGGATGATGCTATTGGTCAGAAATTGCAGGCCGACTGCAGACCACTATGACTCTACTCTTGTATTTTTTATCCTGTGCATATTATTTTTAGACGTACCTTCACACCACAACAAAGTCAATATGGACACATCCACGCCTCAACCACCACATTCTTTTTAAAAATAAATTTCACATTGCATATAAAAATATATATGTAAATATAAATAGAACGCCAAATCAAGTTGCGGTTCATATATAATCACATTAATGGAGGTAGAAGCAATAACATGATATGAACGACTGACCTGTACACCAACAAACTTTGTTACATCACACCCAAGAAAGAGACCATTAAAATCCTGAATCAATTGTCTCTAAGGTCCTCTATGAGAAGAACATTAGAACAACCAGTTCTAAGCAAACAAAATTAATTGAAACCATATTATATATATCATCTCTCGAGAGCGTATTTGTGGTCCGTCAAACTCTTTGTATACCCTTATATTAATTTAGTGATTGAAGTAAATAAATATTTGCAACAAACATAATTTTAATATTAATTTATCCGAACGCATGATATTCACAAATAATTTTTTTTTTCTGTGTGATTAATTATACTATATGTAGTTTATAATGTATTATCCCTGCAAC